GTCTACTGAGTGATCTGGAGCCAAGGCGGGGGGCGTGTAAAGTGCTTTGGGAATAAATATTTGAATTTTCTTTCTTATTTGAAAAATCACGCTCAGATTAATGGTAGTGTATATATCTGTCTGTGAATGCAGGTTCTTCTCAATCTCTCTCTCCACCTACTCGATAGCAGAAAAATAAAATTACAGTGTGCATATGTGTGTGTGCGTTCCTGCAAAACGCTAAGGTGAGATACACTTAAATATCTATGATTTTGGTTTTATTCAAAACAAGGAGAGGAGAGTACCCGGTTCAACAACATTTATCTTATTCATTGTTAGCAATCATATAATCTTATCAAAGCAAGCTAAATCTTAACTGCTCCTAGCATAAACCCACAACTACTAGAATTTCTCAAGCCACAGCCTCTTTCCCCAAGAAGGGGCACGCTTATGCATTCAAATACGGTACCCGAGTTTCTGCTCGGCTACTCACATCTCAAACTACAACTGCAGTGAGCCCCACAGGTAGTTCAGAACAATACCTTCCTTCTGTGTCTTTACCTATAGCCTGGATTGGAGAGGATTCTTTTATCAAAATCAGCTACGTCCATACGCCTTTCACCTCCAAAGTCAGATTTTTTGGAAACAAATGTATCACAGCTCACTCAGTCGAGAGAAATCCGTTCCAGTTTTAGAAATTCAATTTAGCTTGGGTAAGCCTCCAAGCTCTGAAAGAAAGCTCTGTCAGGGGTTTATTACTCATAAATCTTTCCTTCGGATTGGAAGTGTCCCAGAAGCCACTCTCCTTCTAATATTTTTCTATTTTTGTATGTCATTGAAGAAATTTAACTCTTGGAGTCTCTCTGGGTGAGTATCAAGACATGGATCAAGATATCCAGAAAAATTACTGTCTTACAAAAAAATCCTTTAGTTGTGTCCAAACTGGTAATTGGTGGTGAATAATCTAGATTCAGATGGCGGTGGCTGTACTTATAAACATATTTGAATTTAATGTAGCAGATGATTTGTAACTGGAGACATGAGCTACTATTTCACTCAAATAGGGTGTTATATCAAGAAACAAATGAAGTTCTTGGCCAAAACTAATCAAATAATTAAGGTACTTTGTTCATAGAGGAATGAAAATCTATGAACCACCAAGAACCTAATGAATTCATTTTTAACTAAAAAAATAATAATAACCCTAATATTTCTGAAAAAACTTGTCTCCATACTGCAGATAAGATGAGGAACATCTGGATTTTCGTGTTGTGCATCCAGAGATTGGTGTCCTGGAGAGGGAGGAGGATTTCAGGGATGTTCTGGATATGAAGTGGGTAAATGTCATATTTCACACCAATAAATACCCTGGCAACAACAACAAAAATAAATCTTGAAATCACAAAAGCCCAGATTCCCAGCCAATGGCCCTCTTGAGATAACGTTTAATCTAATAAAATTCCAGCAGAGCCCAAGAACTTAGATCCCTCTGGAGTTTTAATGTATCTGACTTGTGTCTTCTGTGATCTGAATTAGAATTTCAAGGCACCCATAACTCACTCCCATTGTCTTCATTGCTTTAAGTGTTAAATGGAGACCTCAACTAAATTTATAATATCTAAAATAAGAACACTTAGATTTGTAGACAACTAATGAAATTTGGGAATGTTCATTTTATGATTAATTGACTACTATCCAAATCTCATAGCATTTTGATGTTCTGTGCTTCATATTTCTATTCTCATGGGTCCCTGTTCCTTCAACACATGTAGGCAGCTTCATTTGTATTAATAAGAAATATACATTAAGATAAAAGATCTCTCTAGATACCTGTGATGACAGAGTAAAATAATTTGAATTTCAATAGAATGTAATATTAGGTTAAAACAGAAATTCCAAGATGATATTCTCATTTTACGAATTTAAGGATAAGGAATTAAGCAACTCAGATTTTTATGAAAACATCTTTTAGACCACTTCCAGAAATCTTTACCCCAATCTTTGTTGGGTTTACTGACTTTTGTCCATGTTCAGTTTTGGAGGCAAAAGCACAAATTTAATATTATAATAAAATATCATGTACATATATCATACATGAGGAATTTTATCTGAAATTAAGATACAACATGTTAATAATAATTTGAAATTATACAGCACCATTGGGGCTGTCCCTGTGGTGCAGTGGTTAAGTTTGGTGCGCTCTGCTTCAGTGGCCCAGGTTCACAGGTTCAGATCCCGGTGTGGACCTATGCCACTTGTCAGCCATGCTGTGGCGGCGTCTCACATATAAGTAGAGGAAGATGAGCATGGAGGTTAGCTCAGGGCTAATCTTCCTCAGGCAAAAAAAAGAGGAAGATTGACAACAGATGCTAGCTCAGGGCTAATCTTTCTGAGCAAAAAAAAAAAAAGAGAATTTATACAGCCCCATTATTCTATAACTATCAAATAATCTCTAATTTTAAATATCCCTTTTTCTACTCAAAAGAGAATATCCTCTAATATCTAGAATTATATAAAGAAAAGTTTTATCTGCAGTATCTCAAATTTTTCCTTTCAATTAATTTTTTTATTTTTTTGCGTTTTTTTTTTGCTGAGGAAGATTCACTCTGAGCTAACATCTGTTTCCAATCTTCCTCTATTTTGTATGTGAGCCGCCACCACAGCACGGCCACCAACAAATGTTGTAGAAAGCACTGAACTTAACCACTAGGCCACTGGGGCTAGCCCTCAATTTTTATACCTCCAAAAAAGACACATTCAGTTTTCACCAGACTGGACCGATTTTCAGCTGAAAGAAATTCCCTGCCTTGGAATGGCAGGAAGTAATGTCTTCTGTAACAGCTGACAATCCCTTTGGTGCAAAGCACTGAGCATGTAGACATGATTCAAAAGACCTCTGAGATGCCAGGGTAAAGCTGGGTTGCAGAGACATCGAGCACAAGGGATCTAGTCCTGTCGTGGCCGCCACCCTGCCTGATCTTCAGACTCCAGGCTCCTCAGGCATGACACGGGAGTTACATTGGAGCAGCAGTTCTCAAAGTATGGACCAGGTACCCTGGGGGTAACTCCCTCCTTTGAGGGAGCCTGCAAGATCAAAATTATTTCTTATAGTACTAACGTATCGTTTGCTTTTTTAAATCCCATTCTCTCGAGTGCACGGTGGATTTTCCAGAGGCTACACACCATGTGATATTACAACAGATTGAATGCAGAGCAGCTGTCTTCTACTAAGCCAGACATTAAAGAGATTTGCAAAAACATAAAACATTACCACTCTTTTCACTAAATATTTTTTCTGTTTTGGAAAATATAATTACCTTTAAAAATGTTACTTATGTTAACATATCACAAGTTCATCACTTTATTTTTAATGAATTAATAAGTAAACTCTTTAAAAATTTCTCCACTTTAATTTCTAATATGGGAAGCCTCAGTAGATATAACCAACACAAACAAAAGTTCTTTGGGGGTCTTGGAGAATTTTTAAGAATGGAAAGAAGTTGTGAGAGCAAAAAGTGTAAGAACCACTGCAGTAGAAGATCTTTGACCATAAAACTCCACGAGTGTAAGGGTGGGAGGTTCAATGGAAATGAACTCCAACAAAGAGATGGGTATGAATCTATGAGCCAGGAAAATCGGGAAGATCCTGTTGGCAGTCCATCCTGCTCTATTTGAGTATCTCTAATTTTACTCCTCCTCTGTTTCTGACCTCCTTGCCAACGGTCCACACCACCTCCAGATCACACAGAGAAGACAGGAAGAGCCCTGAGCATTGTGAAAGGCCAAAATTTTGAGGGCATCCTTATCCCTTAGTGGGAGTTACCTATAGTGGTTTTCTCCTTGTTCAGTGCTCTGCCTCTTTCCAAGATCCTTCCAGGCTCCCCACCACCAGCTCTGATCAGGACATTCTGGGGTACCAACCCCTCTATTTATTGATATGATGACCTTTCACCCCAGAAGTCACCACACTGACCCTGCCCAATAGGATGGCCCAAAACGAGTGGGTGACTCAGCAGGCCGGAGATGAGTGCAGCAGAGAGGAACATTCTAGTACTTGAGTCTTGCTTAGGCCCCAGCTCAGACTCACAATGGAGGATCCAAAGTGGTTTTCAGGCCCCTAAGCAATTTTTACAGCTGATTTGCAAGATTGGCGTTATCTACAACTGGATGAGTAGGCACCAGCATAAATTCCATCCAGTTGGAAGCAGGAGTAGTCTTTCACAAAAGGTGAGTTCATTTTGTAATTAACAAAAAGTGAGAGGACCCAGATTCTCACCTCACCAGAGCCATAACTGTAGCCCTCAGTGCTTACTGGAGATTTTCCATTATTATGGGTCATCGTCCATCACAACCGCTAAAGTTGGGGAGCTGGGCTTACACCCACCTCTGTCTCCTGCAAGACCCATGCTCTTCCCATTCCTGGTCATATCCCAGCTCCCCCACTCAAGCCTCAGTTTCCCCATCCATGAAATAGGATGATCATTCGGTGGAGACTAGAGGGACAGGATGCAAATGCTCCGGTCTCGACTACATGCTTTTATTTGCTGGTGAATCACAGCAGCAACACTCAGTGATCCAGCACCTCCCCTAGGGCTCTGTGCTCTGTGTACAAGGGAGGGTGAAGCACGTTTTAAAACCTCCTTTTAGGAGTTGAGCACTTCACAGTTTTCAACGCACTTATCTCATTTGATCTCATTTTATCCTCAGAACAACCCAGATGATTCTCACCAACCCTAATGAAGAAAACAGAGAACTATATTTACATTGCAATTATCACGTTGCCCAAAATGGGAGTCCTCCTTTGGGAGGAAAACTGTTCTTACCACTGTATTTAGCTAGCTCGGTTTTCTTTGTAAAACCAGACTGTGGTGCTCACTGTGAATTACTAAAATCCAGTTCAAACTGAATCACAGACATATACAGTAAGCTGGTTTGGGTGGAAGGTATGATCCACACCTGCCACATGCCCAAGTCTGCAGATGGGAGAAAGGTAAGTGCTTGGATTACTCGCGTCATCTTACCATTTTCGCCAGATGTCTTGTCTTTTCCATTGGTTGCCCCAGCACCTTGTCGCTAAAGGCATAAAAAAAAAGAAAAAAAAGAAATTGTTATCAAATATATTCAGGGTTATTTTTGTCTCTTTTATTGTTTACAATATCTCTTCATTATATTAAATTCTATGTTACTTTAGCTCGGGTGGTTAAAGCATGGTGCTCATGAGACCAGGATAGGATCAACCTAAGGAAGGACCTACTGAAATTGCACAGACTCATCCATATCCACTGCTCTATGAATGCAGTTCACCAGTCACAAGGGAAACTAGATGGGAGACTAGTGTTGATGGAGCATAACCTCATCTAATATGAAGGAAACAGCCAAGGGTTTGTACCAATTACGAGAAGATCAGAACTGCCACCTTTGTCAATGATGGCCATTGTCCTGCTTTATTCTTATTCCAATCACTATGTCCAATGTCTTATTTTTAAATAAATTTTAATCAACTAAAAAAAATTTGTACTGATAGAGTTTCTGCTATTGTTGAGTTATTTTTCTGTCACTCTTTATGCCTATCCTGTGCCTTTTCATTTTACTGAGTTGACCAGAAGTATGAATATTTCATAGTTAGACTTGAACCTTTGGGCAAGATTCTCTGGATGTGAGGTCTGGGGAGCTGTGTGAAATGCATTACACATGTAAACATCTAAGCATGTTTCCTCAAAGTTTATCCAGCTACTGTCTTTAAATAACATGATGTTCAGAATTGCTCTAGTCCATTGAGAGGGAAGTATTTTGTCAATCCAATTTTCTGGTCATTTTCAGAAAATATGCTTCAAGTTGAAAAAACTGAAAAGATTGTAAAGTCTCTAACTCTCAGGTTAAGAAAATGAGGTCAGGCAAGGAGCCTGATTGTCCGAGGTCATTTGGCTAATTGGTGGCACTGTCAAGACCGGACACTGGACTTTTTTGCCCAGAGGTTGGTGTCTTGCAGGAATTGAGATTGTTACATAAATATCTGAACAGGATCTTGGAAAGAGGCAGAGCACTGAACAAGAAGAAAACCACTAAAGGTGACTCGCACTAAGGAATAAGGATGTCCTCAAAATTTATATTTGGATCCAGGACTTCAGCCTAAAAAGAACATCAAAAAAATAATGATCAGTTCCCATTAGCGTTCAATGTTGTCATGAGAAATTCCCAGGTCATTAGTTAACACTTAATTAATGGTAGATGGATCATCTGGGAAAATCTTGCTTTCAGGTTCTGCTTAGTGTTAATAAATAGGATGAATGATACAGACTTCTGTCAACAAAGTTAACCCTCCCCGTGTATGCTTATTGCCTTGTGCAGGTGATACCCGAGAGAGAGGCAAAGTCAAGTCTCCTATTTATTACCAACCCCACCACACACACACACACACACACACACACACCCATCCCCGTCAATGTGAAGTGCAAATGTTCCCCCCAGGTCAAGGGGGTGCTCTGCCCCATCCTCAGAGGAAAAACCATCCTTCTCTGCCAGGAAGTGGAAGGAAAGGCAACAAGTTGTAAAGGTTAGATAAATGCGGGTTCCTTCCTCATATTTAATTTGGGACATCTTGAATTTTCAGAATGCCAGACTTGCCCATGTGTTCTCATGGAGGGAGAAGGTTCCAGCCCTTAGCCAAACAACAATTGTTCTTCAACAAACTCCATTTAGGTCCCCACGTCATGGCATCATTATCTAAAGCACTCAACCTGTAATATACATCATCCTGATTTAAACCAAATTGCACGTCTCTTAAATATAGTAGATTTGCAAGTGAAAATGCCCCTTTTTCCTGCCTGTGCTTGCTGTGATGTCTCCCTTTTTCAAACACAAAGCTGATAAGTTCGCTGCGCTCGATGGAAATCTGACCGCCATTGTGGAGGACTGAGCTGTGGGCGGCTGAACTGCTCCAGGGTTTAAACCCTCCTCCACATAATTCATAGATGGCTCAGACAAAAAAGGCAAGTTCCACGGAATAAAAGGACAGTGTTCTACAGTTGAATAAAGTCAAATTAAATGGAATACAAGTGCAAAATAGGAGTATACTCAGCCTCACTGTCTTTGAATACCTTGAACATTGACACCTTTCAAATGTCATGAATACTTCGTTCCATAAAAGATCACTTTTTAGAAACCCGAGGAAAACCAAAATGAAATGTGCACAGGGGAGAAAAAGGAGTCATTTTTTTTCAGGATTTCTAGGACGGGGTTTTTGTGTCAGGTCTTATTTGATGGAGGCAAAACGAAGCTGCTGAATGTCATAAGGAGACGGTGTCTTGGATCAGAAAATGATCCTGACAAAAGAGAACTAGTTATTGAAAGCATCTCGTTTCAGAATTCTTTGAGACCTTGTGACATTTTTAAGGCAAAGCTGACAGCAGTGGGGGAATTATCCAAGAGCTTTCCTATTCCTGGGGCGTACGGGGGTCATCACACTTGATTGATTTATCACTAGGCAAGGCGGGTGAAATTTCCCTGAATTGGGAAACGAAGAGGGTCTAAGTCAGGCTGGGTGTTGAGGGTGGTCATAGCTCACACGTGCCAAAGCCAGACATGCTCCAAGTGCTCCGGGCATCATCGTCTCAAAGGATTCTGACAACATCCCTGACGAGGGAGACACCATCATTATCCTCATCAGCCTCACTATCCAGATTGTATCCCAAGGCACAGAGAGGAACTGGCTCAAGGTCATGCAGCTGGGAAGTGGCAGAGCCAGAACTCAAACCCAGAGATGCCGGTTCTGGAGTCTTCTCTTGGAACCTCTGAGCCTGAGCATTTCCCAGAATCCTTCTGCGGGCCTCCCTTAGCAGGTGGGGAGTAATGAGGTAGGGAGATTCCTGTGTGAAGGTCGATGTGACTTCATTAGCACCCACAGGCTGAGTTTTGAGGACACTTGACTTACAGGAAGAAGCAGAGTCAAACCAACAGTCCAGGGCTCAATGGTAGAATTGCTCAATGCTAGAATGGTAGAATTACTGTTATTTAAATAAAGTTTAAATAACACAAGATTCAGAGCTAGGCTATGCTAAAATAGATGGATGGGTGGATGTCATTCTCCAAAAGTCTGGTAGGGAAAAGGTTCTTTTCCATGAGATGATAGAACTAGGGCCCTGAAGGAAGAGGCTGCCTTTTCTCCCCTCCCACTCTCTTCCCCAAGTGAGAAAAGACCCCAGCCTCCTCCATCCATTAGCCCCAACCACGAGTTCCACAACCTGAGAACCTGTGTTGCCTGCTGAACAGAAGTAGTCACACCTCAAGAATATAATCTATTCTAACTGGACTAATGATAAGATGAAGTGTTAAAGGAGAAGGGTGCAATGAACTGTCGTTAGAGCAAACCCTGATATGAGATTCTGGAATTCCAAGTTCTTTCCTAGGAACTTCAGAAATGATTCAATGATATCATGAATCCCACCACTGCGTCATTCAGTTTACATATCAGTACAACGTAATATAGGGTACACAGAAGGCAGGAAAAGTTCTCTCTGACCAAATATGCACAGCCACAATTACCAGGTTAATGCAGGTGTGTTGAATATACTGTCAAAATTGTCTAGAAAACCAAGCACAAATGTAATTGAGAGCTTCCTGCTAGTCACGTTCAATACCTTTTTGTCAGCAGAAATTTGCTTCAATGTTTTCAGACCCATGTAGAGAGTCAATTTTCATGGCCACTAAGAACAGTAGTGGTTGAATATTTGGCCTTTTGCTTATGTTTTCTTTGGTGGGGGAGCAAGTAGAGGCAAAAAATAAGCATCAATGTTAGCAACAGCAACACCAGTGCTGGGAGATCTCCTCATAATTCTGCTCCAGGAGAATCTCGCTGTGATCCTTGTCATCATGGCACTTGGCACAAATGTTCTCATTCAGGTCCTCTCTTGATCAACTCCAGCCCCACCCCACCTAACGACTTCATGTTCATAAAACACTCCTGTTTGGGGACCCTCCCCGAGACACCTTGTCTGCCACAGACACAGCACCATCTTCCATGTTCTCCTAAGTGTCTAAAAGAATAACAGCCCCTTCCTTCTTTGGCCATCTGAAATCAGAGTCTACTGCCCAAGCCAGCTCTGCATCCATCCTCCTGAGGCACACTGGCATTCTCTCTTCAAACACATCCAGACAACCTCCCTTTCATCATCCCCAGGACCTCTTTAAGGAATAGAGAGTCCTGTGTGAGGGAGAGTATTCCACTAAATTTACCTTCACGATCACAAATAAGAAAACTACTCAGCTCCTTAGAACACAGACACATTTTCCTCAAAACTCCCTCTTTCTGTATTGTCCCCATTTCACCATTAGGAAACGCTAAATACCCCCCTGAGGACGCAACACAAGAAGTTAAAATCACAGCATCAACGTAACCTTCTCTAGCACAGCCTGGTAGCTGGCATGCATGTTGTGGAATCTGGTGAGCAGCAATGAGGAAATCAGAGGGAGGAAGGAAGAACCACCACAGGAAGAGGACTTCTCTGGGTTCTTAACCTTCAAACACTCTCCAAGCAACTCACACATCTCAGAAGGGAGGTTTCCTCTCTCAGTGAGATTAACTAATAAAAAGATAGCACTTCAGAACTTAATAAACCCCCAATTAAAAGAAGCCTAAATGAAGAGTATATGATAGTTCCTTCTGATAATCTAGTACATGCCAAGTATCCATAAAAAGTCAGCACTGGTATTTAAAGGTACAATTTTTGAAGTAATTTTTCCTGGCAGTCCGGTTGTACCCAGGGCTATAGGAAAATAACAAAGAATATGTCTTAGTTTGATTTCCCGGAAAGCAGAGCATGAGGCACACGCTGTTTGTGCTATAATTTTGTTAGAGAAGGTGATGCCAGGAATGATGGAGGAAGGATGGAAGCAGAGATGAGAGAGATCCGATGTAAGGATTCATCACCAAGCTGGCATTGCCACTCACATCCGGATGCTCATCATGCACCCTCCAAGAGCTGTGCTGACTGCGTCTGAGGACAGACCCCCAGTGGGGAGAAGACAAATGAGTTATCCACCAGCTCCTGTCTCTCACTGGTCCAAGACACACGCCA